TGTCCCACTATCATGCTCAGCCTTCATTTGGGTTTCAGTAATTCCTCTCGGTTACATTGCCCTTGATCAAGCCCTACCAGGCCTCTTACACCTACCCTCCTTGCCACTGATTTTGGACCACTTGTTGTTCTCTTGTCCCTGGGTGGTTAACACCACTTTCTTTCCCCCACTTTCCCCCTCTCCCATGTCCCCCCGGAACCATCTGTCCCATTGTTTTCTCCTCCAGATTGTTTATCCAGATAGACCTGCGTCGTTAGCGTGACTTAATTTTAGAATATTTTCATCATTTCACAAGGAACCTTTATATACCAATTAGTAGTCATACCCCATTCTTCCATTCCTAACCCTCAACCACACTTATTGGCATTGAGTCTGCTCACTCATAGTGACCCTATGGGACAGGGTTCAACTATTCTGTGTATTTCTGAGATTGTAACTCTTTATGGGAATAGAAAGCCCTATCTTTCTTCTGAGGAGCAGCTGGTGACTTTGAACTGCCAACCTTATATATCACAGCCCAATACGTAATTATTAAATCACCAGAGTTCTTCCCTACAGTCTTAGACAACCACTAATCTACTTTCTGTTTCCGTGGATTTGCTTAATCTGGACATTTCATATAATAGAAATACAGTATGTGGCCATTTGTGTCTGGCCTTTTTTAGTGTTTTCATGGTTTATCAGTGTTGTAGTACATATTAGTATTTCGTTCCTTTTTAATGATAGTTTTGTTGTATCTCAGTTTGTTTATCCATTCGTGGATGAGTACTGCACATATGAGCATTTGTGGACAGTTTGTTTGTATATAGAATTTCAATTAAGAGGTTTTATTATGGCCATTCTGGGGCCAAACCCTGGAGATGTAGTGGTTGTACATTGGGCTGTTAAATGCAAGGTCGGCAGTTCAAAGCCACCAGTCAATTCATAGAAGAAAGATTGAGCTTTCCAAAGACTTACAGTCTCGGAAACCCTCAGGGGCAGTTCTTCCCTGACCTCTAGGGTCGATATGAGTTAGAATCAACTGGAAACCAGTACGTTTTGGTTTTGGTTTTTATAGCTATTATGTGTTTACCATTTTGAGGAACTGCCAGACTATCAAGGTAACTGTATTATTTCGCCTGCCAACCCATAGTATATGAGGGCTCCAGTTTCTCTGTTTCTTTGTCAAAATTATAGTCGATATGAAATGGTATTTTATTGTGCCCTTGATTTGGTATTTCGTTGGTGGCATAATAGTTAATTGCTTGGTTGCTAACTAAAAGATCAGCAATTTAAGTTGACCAGCCTTCTGTAGGAGAAAGATCTGACAGTCTACTTCATTAGAAATAGTCTAATCATGGAAAGAAACTTAATGGGGTCCGCTTTATGGGGTTCCTATGGGTCAGAATCGACTTAATGCAACCAATTTAACTTTGTATTTCTATTGTCTTATTATAATTTTTAGTGGTAATAAAATACATGTCATTATAACCCTTTTAAATTACAATTCAGTGGCATTAAGTACATTTATGTTGTTGTTT